ATTTAATTAATTACTTTAATTATTTATTTGAATGGCTCGCGCTCCGCTGCTGCGGCCCGCCCGGCCCGCGCCCCCCCGCCCCGCGCCTATGCTAATCTATGCTAATTTATGCTAATGAGCGCGGCGCGGCGCCCCGGCCCCTTTTGTGCCCCGCCGCTCCCGGCCGCTCCCAGAGGCTCCGACGTCGCCGCAGGATTTTCCTGCCCAAAAAGAGCAGCGAAACAGGGCGAGAGGGGCGGCCGATCCCGCGGGAAGCGGCGGCTCCTGCCCCGGGATTCCCGCCTGGAAGCGCCTCGGGAGCGGGGGAAGCGCGGCCGGAACCGCCGCGGGGGGCGGATTTTTCCGTCGCTTTCTCGCGCTCCCGGTCCCGAGGCCGGGAAAGCGCCCGGGATTCGCGGCACCGAACCGGGACCGAAGTGGGACCCGCCGGACTGAGGCAGGAGCGCCCCGAACCGGGAGCCCCCAAACAGGGACCGATCCGGGCCCCCGTCGAACCGGGACCCCCGCGTCGGACTGAGACCCGCCCTGAACCAGGACCTGCAAGTTGGACCGGGACCGAATCAAACCCCCCCTGGACTGAACCCTTGGGCTGAGCCGGGACCCCCTGAGCCGAACCAGGACTGAGAGGGGACCCCCCAAATCCCTCCGGACCCCTGAAGCAGGCTGAGAGCACGGAACCGAGGTGAACCGGGACCTCCAAAGTGAACCGGGATCTCCAAAGTGAACCGGGACCTGAGCCGGGACCCCCTGAGCTGAACCGAACCGAGACCTTCTGAGCTGGGACCCCCCAAACTGAAGTGGGACCCCCTGGGTTGAACTGAACCTCCTGAGCCGGGACCCTCCAAACCGGGACCTCCTGAACCGACCCAAACCGACACCGTCCAAACCGGGACCCCGAACCGGGCCCCCCCCGAACCGGCCCCCCCCCCCGCACCGGGCCGAACCCCGGGCCGAGCCGCCCTTGTCCGCGGAGCAGAGCGGATCCAAGTGGATCGGGGCGGATCGGAGCGGATCCAAGTGGATCGGGGCGGATTGGAGCGGATCCAAGCGGATCCAAGTGGATCGGGGCGGATTGGAGCGGATCTAAGTGGATCGGATCGGAACGGATCGAAGAGCACTAGAGCAGATCCAAGTGGATCGGATCGGATCAGAGCGAAGCGGATCGGAGCAGAGCGGATCAGAGCAAAGAGGATCGGAGTGGATCCAAGTGGATCCAAGCAGATCGGATTGGAGTGGAGCAAACCAGATCGGAGGGGGTCAGACCAGAGCAGATCGGAGCACATCGAAGTGGATCAGAGCGGATCAGATCGAATCGGATCGGAGGGGATCAGATCGGATTAGAGCGGATCGGAGCAGATCCAAGGAGATTGCAGCTCGGGTCAGATCGGAGCGGATCAGATTGGAGCGGATCAGATCGGA